CAGCCACATACACCGAAGCTGGCGAGTTCAACTCCAGCCCAGGCCTGCCAAACAACAATGACTACTACAAACAAAAAATAACCGGGCGTTGTGGTGGGCGCCTGTAGTCCCAGCTACTTGGAAAGCTGAGGCAAGAGAATCGCTTAAGCCCAAAAGTTTGAGGTTGCTATGAGCTGTGATGCCACAGCACTCTACCAAGGGTGACATAGTGAGACTCTGTCTCAAAAAAAATAAAAATTAAAATAAATTTCAAAAAAGTTGAGTGGGGCCAGGCATGGTGGCTCATACCTGTAATCCTAGCACTTTGGGAGGCTGAGGTCGGTGGATTACCTCAGCTCAAAGGTTACAGACAAGCCTGAGCCAGAGCAAGACCCTGTCTCTAAAATTACCTGGGCATTGTGGCCGGTACCTATAGTCCCAGCTTCTTGGGAGGCTGAAGCAAGAGAATCCCTTGAGCCTAAGAATTTGAGTTTGCTATAAGAGAGGGTGCCACAGCATAATACCAAGAGCAACAAAGTAAAACTGTTTCAAAAGAAACCAAAAAGTGAATGGTAGGCAGATGTAATGTCAGCATGGTAGATGGCCTATACTTTTATTATTTTTTTGTCCACCCATACTTATTTTCAGATGCTTTAAAACAGTAATATATAGTCATGGCCAATGAAGGGTATGTATCTGCTGTAGAACTTTATTTAATTTTATTACTGTTACAATCCATAGGTTATATAAGCATATCACATTCTTTGGTAGTTGTTGAGAGGAAAATAGGGATTTTTACGTCATTTATTAGTATTATTATTACATGATAATTTGCTAAGTGTTTTAGCTTCCATATCTCCTTGATAGAGGTTTTTATATTTTTACAGGAGAGTCCAAGTACCATTGCTCAGTTTGTGGAAAGTCTTTTCATAGGGGCTCTGGACTAAGCAAGCATTTCAAGAAACACCAGCCAAAACCTGAGGTTCGAGGCTATCATTGCACTCAGTAAGTATTTAGTGTATGAAGCATCTAACTAGTTTCTAACTTAGTTTCTTTAAAAGTTGTTTTGCAAAGAAAAAAAATGAGCCGGGCAAAGTGGCCTTGGCCTATAATCCTAGCACTATGGAAGC